ACTGCGACGCCCCAAACGAGGGGAACGCCGCGCCGGGTATGAAATTTGATCTTGAATGAAAAGGCAGGGCGCGTCGCTACGCGCCTCCACTCCCTGCCAACCCGACATAGACGCGGAAAAAAAAAGGCGTGACGTCATCGCCTGCTCGTCCCGCGACCCGCACCACCTCCACCGCCCGCCAGGCCCTGCCCGACGACACGCCCGACCTTCGACCAGCCTCCTCGCACTCCGCCGCCCTCCTTTTATTTCCACCCGATCCCTGATCCCTCCCCTTAATTCTCCGGTGGTCGGTCCCGATCCCCGATCCCATCCCGGCCCGGGAGCCGGTAGCTTTTTCCTTTGCCGGTTCGCCACAGTGGCTCTTATACACATCCGGCCGGCAAAACGGAAAAGAGCGGAATGGAGTAGAACAGAGCACGCGGGGGAGTGGGATTTTGGAAAGCTGCGAGTCCAACAGGTCCGCACCGCGGGCGGAGCTCGGGTGGTCCGCCCGTGCCCAGCAGCACAGCACAACGGGCTCGGCCTCGGCCTCGGCCTCGCTCGGCACACGCGCCGCAACGCCCCCGCCCGCGCCGCCGCGAGCAGAGGCGGAAAGGAGGAAGTCCGGAGCGCGGAAAAGGCTCCTCGACGCACTCTACTCGAAATTATTATTTTCTGAGCAAACGCCCTGCGGCAGTATAGTCCAACTTGTGCGAGCAGGCGGCGGCGGCGGCGGGCGGCACGGGGCGAGGCCGGGCCGCGGCTGTGGGGTGGGCCTCGTCCGACTGCGGAGGGTCCCGGGGGGAGATAGCAGAGCCGGGGCCGAGGCCGGGCGGGCCAGCCCGCGGGAGATAACAGGCCGTCGGGGGCTGCTCTTGGCCTCGGACAGAGGACTTGGCCACTCCCGGGCCACACTGCGCCTTATCACTTGGTATCACTGGCGTTCACGGCCGCTGCACTGTACACGCACCACACACACGCGCGCGCGCACTGCACGTCCACGCACTCAACCCGCACGTCCACGCACAAGTACAGGTGCTCCGCCCGCGCGCGGACCCGGAGAGAGAGAGAGCAGAAAATAACAAACTCAAAACTTTACCTAGGGAATTCGGTAGACGGAACCTTCCTCGCTGACGTGTACCAGCAGAATCCGCGGCTTTGGGTGCGGCCGTCTGGTTTTCTGTGTCCCCCCTGACCCCGGGGGCGCCCCCAGCCCCCCGCGACCCCCGAGGCTGCCCCCGCGCCGCCCCACACCACCCCCCGCGCCCTGCGCGGCCGGGCCGGGCCGCGGCGCTCATCCCCACCACCCGCCCTGGCCTGACCATAATTTGGAGGTGTGTTGCAGGGCGGCTCCATCGGGCTGCTGCCCCCTCCCCGCCGGCGCGCCCTGGCGCCCCCCGGGTCCCCCCTCACCATGCGGACGCCCCCACTCCCTGGGAACCGGGGGCCTGCCGCGGGCAGACGGGAGACGTCGCTATTTCTGCCTCTCGGGCCGGCGAGCCTGCAGCCGCCACAGCTCCCCGCCCTGCATCCCGCGAGTGCGAGAGAGACAGACAGCCCTGGTCATAAGGGACCGCGTGCCAGAGTGAGAGGGGCGGCTGCTGATGTGATGCCCCCTCCGCCCCCTCTTCTTTCCCACGCGTCCTATCCTCTCCGCACTACTTCTTGACTCAGTCTCTCTCTCTCTCTCTCTCTCTCTCTCTCTCTCTCTCTCTCTCTCTCTCTCGTTCTTTCTCCCTCCTCCCCTCCACCCACCTGGGCAGTAGACTGGCACTTAAAAATCACTTTTTAGATATTTAAAGGTCTTAGGGTCAGACTTTGTTTCTTTCGATGAAAAAAAAAATCT